AATACAAGCTATGTTACGTTGCATCTTTGCTTAATCACAAAATATAAAATGCTTCAATATTTGTAGGGGGAAAAATGCTACAATTTCCCCCTTAAAGACAAAGTCCACATGCACCGTGGAATGAGACAAAGAATTGGGGCCCTTGAAAGCATTCTTCCTCCACCTACCAAAAGCTGTATCAAAAATTAAGGTAGGATTTGCTTTTCCAAGCTTTTAAATGGAGAGCAGAGTTTAAAAATAAGAGCTTATATTATTAACCCAATTTCAAGAAAAGATTTGTGTGCATGTTTATTAATTAGGCATTTGTAGTAAAAAAAATGTAGTGTTGAAAATTCTTGCAAAGATACCTAGAAATTCTTAACAGAAACACCTGAAGTGTTGAGCAGTACGTGTAAACTGGAGAGGAACAGGTTCTCTTTTGAGGCAAGTCTCTAACAAGGCCGGACCCATGTATATATACTCACTTTTTCTGTGGGATGAATTCCATTCCATTTGAGAAGTACATTTCATTACAATTCCTTGCAGAAATGCCCTAATTCTCTGACCAAAAAGATCAGACTTGAAGTTTGCCTGACATTAATGGGGATCCTAGTCTTTCAGAGAGGGAACCTTACGATATGCTATGTTGTATCTTCTTTACAGTTCTAAGAGGAACAAAGGACTTACATCTTTTTCCAAAATACAGTATTTTTAACAACGAAATCTCAATAGTGTAAAAGAATACAACTACTGTTGAGTGAACAAGTGAACTTTAAAATCTCTGGACTAGTATCTATCTACATATACATTTTTCTTTATAGTTAAATCAACCTCTCTCAGCATGAGGAACAATTGGAAATAAAATAAAACAAAAGACTGTGATCCAGCCACCCTGTAATTATTACTGAGATGACAGTCATTGACTAACGTATGCTGAGGGGCTCTAAGGAAGGAAAACAAAAGAAGTAGGAGACACTATCCTTTTCTCAAGCAGTTCATACTCTTTCTGACAACCTTACTGCTTAGTCATTAGCATGCACTGCAGGCTCCTAAAATATCTTATCAATACAATAAAGACAAGTTGACAGAAAACTGCAATAACTGTCCATCCCCAATTAGCCGAATATCCAGAGAAGGGCCCCTCGGGCTGCCGAGGGGCCTGAGCACAGCTGGCTGTCACTGTCTGGCCCCAGGGTGTCATCAGGCTCCCCTGACAGTCTACAAGTTCCCCTTCCGGGAAAACCAAGGGGCAGAGCAGAATCACTCATTGGATCAGGCTGGGGTCAAATACCAGAATCATGGCATTTGTCAGAGCAGACTCATGAGAAACAAAAAAGGCCACAGCAGGTCAAGGAGGGCCAACAGCCAAGCCAGCAAGACCAGAGGTGCTCCGAAAAAGCCGAGAGCCAGGAGCAGTGGCGGTGGTATAGGCATGTCTTAAAACACAGCTTGGGAAGAGCAGACCTGTGAACGGGAAGGGGCCACGGCTCAGAGTCAGCAGGGAGACAGACAAGGGCAGGAAAACCCGGTTCAAGAAAGGAGCCCCGGACAAGAAACCTTGTCCAGGAGCCAGGCAAGCCCTAACATGGCCTGCAATTTTCTCTTTCTAACTCCGAATCTCCCGTACAGCTTAGGAAAACTTCGGGAAACCCCTCTGCTCTCCCTGTTGGGGAGAAAATGCCAGGAATCTGATTTCCTGCCCTCTTAAACCCTTCATGTTTTAAGTTTCAAGAAAGCTCAAAACCTTAAGTTCCCGGTCATTTCCGTCTAAGTGGCAGTATAGAACATTAAAGTATAAGGACTCCTTCCCTCTGCCAGGCCCCAGAGAAGGCACACAGGTGCACACATTCTATTTCATATACATTCATATATGGATGCATTTAAAAATGTCTGAGCTCCAAGGAACTGAGAGATTAACTGAGTGTTAGTCATGGACCTGGTCAGTATACAATGTGATCTTTAAAACAATATGACAGAACAATGATGGGAAGAGCAAGAGGAAGTGTTTCAGCTGTCTAGGGACATCATGGAGGGCCTCACAGATAAATGACAACTGGGCTAGATCTCAAAGGATGGGTAGGAATTAACCAGGCAGAATAAAAAGACCAGGCTGATGGGGAGGACCAGGGCAGGCAAAGGAAAAGGCATGAGCAAACACACGAAGACATGGCAGGGCACGGCCAGCCGGGGGGCAGCGAGAAACTCAGCGTGGCCAGAGCAGAGAATGAGAAGGGGGAGCCTGGAGAGGAGAGGAGGAGCCTGGAGACGAGACGGCTCGGCTAAGGTCATATTAATAAGGAGTCTCACATATTACACTACGAAATCTGGGTTTTAGTTTGCAGGCCATGTGGAATCACCAAAGCTTATTAAGTAGAGGAGTAAGTGGATCAAATTTATATTCTGGAATTCAGGCGACAATGAAGAAGACGCTTGAGGATTGAGAGTAGAAAAGAGCAAGCAGCTGAAAAGTTGTTAAATAGGCTAAGCAAAAAAAAAAAAAAAAAATCCCGTGGTTCTAAACTAATGGGGATGAGACGACAGATTACAAAGGCATTTAAGAGGAAGGACAGATGGAGGACATGGCCCAGTTAGGTGTGGGACAAGGACAGGGGCGGAGCGACAGGAAGCCTGCAGTCTCTGCCTTAGGCACCCAGATGAGTTGTCAAGTCGTGAAAGAGGACAGGAACAAAGCAAGGAGATAAACAAGCTGGCCTGGGGTGGGTAATGGGCACAATTATTCACACACACCCCTACCAGTTCTTTGTGCTACGAGTTGTGCCAAAGACATAAAATCCTTTTCCTTAATCCCCACAATACCACATTATCCGTATTTCACATAAAGAAAATGGCTCCGAGGGGTTAATTTATTGAATGTTATTTATCTATTATTTAATTATTCAACAAATATTTATCAAGTGTCCTTTAGGTGCCAGGGTTTTCCAAGAGAAGGAGATGGCAGCTGGGTCCTTACCCTCGTGGGGCTTAAAGTTTAGAATGAAGGGGGCAGACAACCAACAGACTGAGGGTTAACCATGGGCTCTAAGCGCATTTCAAGTTTCCACTCATTTAACTTTTCCTACGAGTAGGGAAGCACTGTTGTCCCCATCTCACAGCAGGACAGAAACTCACAAATCATTCCCCGAATGATTTGTAAAATATATCTGCATAATTTGAAGGCTACATCAGAAACGAAGGCAGTGTTTAAAAGCATTTCTTGACATCTAACCAAGTAGAAAGGGGACATAATTGGTCAAGGGGAAACAATTTGCTCCCTAACAAAGGGAGCAAAACGGTTTTTATTTGCTTGCATGTACTTTTAAACTCTTGAATCTTCATATTCTTTTCACTATAAACAGAAGTTCTCCTCAGATGAACCAGATCTGGGTATTTTCAGCTGTGGTCAGCTTCTCTGAGTCCCACTAGGGTTTGGTGATGCAGAGTAAACAAGGCTATAAATCAAATGCAATGCATTTAATACCTCAATGCATTTGCAAATTGATCTGAAACAGGGGTCAGTTCAAATCTTTTTTTTAAGTGAAACTGTCCCCTCCCCATGAAGGGAAGGAAAGGAAGTTAAAGGCAGCAACTCCTAAAGTTCTGTGGGATTGAGACATGCGGCTGTTTGGTAGAAATAGAAGCCAGGCTTCTTCCAGTGAGGTTCTTAGGTACCTGTCAGGCTGCAGCCTTGGGTATTTAAACACACACACTGGCGGGCATTAAATCTGAAATCTGGTGGGCAGCCTTTCAAGAAATAAAAGCTACAAACAAAATAGCTTTGGTTCCATTCAGCATGCTGTGGGAAATGGCTAATGGACAAGCATTACTATGACCGGCAAGGCGAGCTGCCAATAAATGAGAGGAGAAGAGGTTCAAAACCACTACATAACAGCAACACTTCCTAAGCTTACTTCACTAATTTGTCAAAGTAGGACATTATCTAAAGTGAAAGCAAATGAGGTTGGAGTACACGGGGAAGGAACTATTTAAAAGTAAAAGTGATGCTTCTTTTGCTATTGGTCGGTTACCTCTGTTTTGAGCAATTATGGTTTAGTGCCACCACCTTCCAACACTACATTTTGTTTACTAAGGGCAATACTGTCTCCTTTTCAAATGACAAGCAGAGAGCTATTTCTGGTAGGAAACACCTCGACTCTGCCTCGTCTCTCCCCACGAGGAAGAGAGGAGGTCTGGCGGTCGGACGGGAAGGAGGTGTGCTGATGTGCACGCCTCAGAGGGGGAGGAGGACCACATTCTTTTCACTTGCCATTTTTCTTCCTAGAAGAAGGGAAACCTTAAGTGCTCTATCCCCCATCTTTTCTCTATCTTCAACTCTAAGTCTCCGCTGTTTCTTACAATTTTAAACAAACAAAACGTTAGTTCATACTTGCAATCTCTTACATTTTGGAATGGAATGAAAACCATCCCATCACAATGGAAGAATGGAATCACTTAACAGTTCCAATCAGTCCAAAATCCAACAATTAACACCTTAAATTCTATTTTGGTAGGCTTTGCCATGTCTTCTGTGAAAGTACAGTGGTTTTCAGGGTAATGGAACAGAGAGTGTGCTCTGGGGCTGGACCACCCAGGTTCAAATCCTGATTATACAACACACTGGCTGTAGGGATTCCAATAAATTAATGTAATCTCTCTCTGCCTCCTTACCTGACAAAGAGAAAGCACTACATGAATGTAACGAATACTATGATTATCTCAGAAAACTTCTAAAGGACATTATGTTCCTCTCCTTACTCTTTGTTAGCACTATTAAGCATTTATATATAAAACCAAATGAAGTTCATCAGTTTTAGGTCACAAAACAATGCGCTTGCTAATTAGAGAAGGAAATTAGCCTTAACTTAGATTTTACCAGTAACATAACTACACACTTGACTTTTAGAGGCAAGACATTCTACTGGAACTTCCATGTTTCGAGAGTTAAATGAAAAATGTATACGAGAACAGCTTATTCGAAAACATTTATATAATCTGCAACACTGTTCTACGAACAAGATACATACTTCTGCGGTGATCTGTTATCCACTTCTGCCTTCAGTCGTAAATTCTCCCTCACCAGGCCACCATTTTCCAATTTCAGTTTTTTATTTGCCTTAGAAAAAGAATTAAAAATAATTAAGCATAAGCTAAAATAAAAGTCCCTTGTAAAATTTATAATATGAGCCATCAGTATTTTTTAGAGTGTACTATTAGAAAACTGACTGCTGAAACATGGCCTTTAGAAACTTAAAGTCACCACTGGGAATGACTTACAAAACTGTGAACAAAACCAATCCGTATTCCCCAAGCACTTTGCAAATCTCCTACCCAGGGAAATAAACGGGGCTATGCTAGTTAGTCATTAAGGGACTATACTAATGGCATTTTTTTCCTTTTTCACATAACTGAATATTCTAAGCCTGGTAACATTATACTACATGCAATTATTTGCAAAACTAATGCCAAGAGTTAATTCTTAAGCTGTAAGATTGATTTTTGGTTGCTACTTAAAAAGTTTTTTAGTGAAAGTGAATCTGATATGATTAAATCCCTTGCTCCCCACCCCCCCATTTGCAAAGAGCTCTCCCAAAGTCCTGGCTCACAACTTCTGGGACTCTTAAGACCGAGTTAATATTTTCTAATAAATTCTATGGATTCTCTTTTTATTTAAAAAGACCCCTAAGAATAATTTTCTCTTTTGAATTTTTGGTATCTAATGATACCTAAAAATTGTTTAACAAAACATCAATTACTGGAAAATCTAGAAGCTCAATGTTAGTTCTGGACAACCTGAAAAGTTAGGGTGCCTAGATTTTAGGGTTTTCTTAAAAGTGACTCCCTTTAACTTCTCTAGTCATTGGATTTGTGAATTCCAAAGAAAAGTAAAACTCCCCAGAGTAGAAATCAATCTCACTCACCTGGCAGGAGAAATTCTTTGTTACACTAGAACATTCTCATTTAGAACAAACAAGGCATAAGAACTGTTACCAACAAAGAAGACTTAAAAACATATTTCAAAAATCTGACCAATGTTTTTGACTAAATTCCAGAACTTCTGTCTGTATTACTTGCCCACCCAGTGCCCCAAGAGAAGGACAAGAAAAGCAAGGCAGAGAACTTCTTTGGGGCACCAAGCCTAACTCTCTCAGACTCATCCTGGTTCCTTTTGGGCTTTGAACACGCGCTTGGTTTCCTGGTTGTCAACCAAGCAGGACAGTCGGGGGTTAATTCTTTCAGTGACTGATAAACCCCATTACTGCCCCTCTGAAGACAGAAGGCAAGTCATTTACTTCCTCGTAGACACAGAGGATGAATTAAGCTCTCAAGCACAGCACCACAGAGGAGGAGGCACTTAGTGAATGCTTTCTGATGGGGATAGGCTTAAATTAGAACCTCACTTGAGATTACCTTTCGCCAGCACTTCTGTGTTGTATCACTACGCTTCAAGGTCTCTCCCCAGTCCTGTGCCTCTTCAATATTCTCTTTATGGGCTGGCTACTTGCTCAACCACCAGGAGACATTTTCAGGTTCAGAAAGGTCAGGAGGGTAAAGATTACAAACGGCAGAGTTCTGCCTATTTGTTGCATCTAAAAAAATAATGAAGTCTTCAGCTATTTTGCGTTCTCAACACTGACTGGGTAATGTCGAATCATAATGGTTCGACACTCTGAAAATGGGAGGAAAAAAGTCCATTTCACTCATTCTAAGGAGTCCTTTATTCTGAACCTTTTGTACTCCTGTATTTGATTTATAGTATGCTATTAGTTTGTTCTCTGTAGTGTGTCTTTTTAAATTCGTTTATGCCCTGGTTTACTGCCTAGTACTACCTAGTATCACCACTAGGCATCCAAAATGAGCTTATTAAATATCCCACATAACTGTGAGGTCTCAGGGTAGCTCTGGGTATTACCTGTAACATGTGGCATTTTTAAAAAATCAAAGAAAATCTGAAAACTGTGTTTTATGTACTCACATCCCCTACCCTACTCTTAGGAGCCCAGAGTACAGTTTGCATTCCAAGCCTCATGCTTTAAGAAACATTTTTTGCCAAAAACTTAAATCAAGTTTAATCATTATAAAGGAAACCACATAAAACCTACTGATGGCTGGAGAAGAAGGGAAGCTGGAGGGGGCATGGTAGGCCGATGGACCCACAGCTTCCCGCTGCTCTCCTTTTGTGCCCTCTTGTCATGCGGATTAACGTTGGCCATCAGGATGAAGAAGCTCCACACTCCCCCTAAACTTGTAAGAAACTCAGTGCGATGATGTCCAAACCCAGTTCCTTTTTTTCCTCTAAAAGCATCAAGGGCTCTTCTTTCCCTTATCTGGACCTTTTCTAAGTCCAATCAGCACTTTTTTTTTAGGGGGGGGGTGAAAATAGCTCAGTATTTACATTAAGTTATATACATTTCTCTGCTACTTAATCTCACTAAGATTTGAGCGAGTACGTGGTCATACTTTTAACCATCATATGGAGCTCATTAATGATTTTAGGGGGCAGTTTCGGTAACCCAGCACAGTGACAGTATTTTAAGGAAATGTAGATAGATTAAAGGGGTGGCTGTGGACCGTGAAATCTCCCCATTCAGCACAACCGGACTGGACTGTGGATACACTTGAAGTCTAGCTAACGGATGGGCCCTTTGGCCAACAAGGCTCCACAGCACTTGACCGTAATCTCCAGTGCTGACTGCCTGTACCTCATCTCCTCTCCTAGACTGGAAGACCCTAGGTTTGGCTTTTCCACCTATGCTTTCTCTACCTTGTTGAACAGGTGGAAGAATAACTTTTAAAAATGAACCCGTTTCGTAAGGCACAATATTATTTTGCATAAAGTAGTCTAAAGAGCTACAACCAGCTGCCTTAGAATTAGCCATTAAGCTTTTAACTATTTACAATCTGAAATATCAGAGAATGGTAGCACTAGAAAAAATATGGTCCAAGACTTTCATTTTATAGGTAGGGAAATGACTATGTATTTGTTTTTACGCCTACAGAGCAGTCCCTTACAGAAGCTTATTAAAGCAAGGTAAGGTAAACCACAAAGGGGAACAGAAACACATCCCTTAAATGGATGCCACTCTCCCACAAGAAGATGCAGACTCATACAGAAGCATTACAGTCTCCAATTATAGGCACAAATGGAACCACCTGATATTTCTTGGCAGCTAATGACATTTAAGGAGAAGAAGTTTCCCTATCGCTTACCGATGCTCATTCAGGGATTTGTCTCTCCCCACCAAGCATCCAATGAATGAGTCAAGATACATGCAATTTATACATTGGAGGGTACTTACACTATTACAGAATTTTAAAACAACTAAAATAGAATATTTTAAAACTACATATGATAGAATTTTATTTTTTTGTTTATGCAAACAAAAGGTGGTTTTTATTTTTTATGAAAATAAGACACCAATAAAAATATACAAAATACAGGAAAAAACTACACATACTAGAATTTTAAAAAGAATCACAACCTACCTCCTTTAACTTGTCCACGTCATCTTTCACTTTCTCGTAGATTTCATTAGCTGTCCTGAGTTTCTTCTCCCACTCGACCACAGTTCCTGGCTCACTTTTACTTGAATTATCTGCAACTGGAATTTTGTCTTCATTTTGGCTGCCCTGCATCAAGGTCAAAGGATCTAGAATAGTCTTGATCTGTGACTCCAGGCTGAGATTTTTACTCTTAAGCTCTTCTACCTCTCTCTGCAGACAATCTATTTCATCCTGAAAAAGGGTTGTGGAGCCGTTAGGTAGACAAAACAGTAAGCACATACATATGCTAACCTGAGGCCAATGTGCTCTTTAATTTTATACTCAAAATTCCGTAGATACAAAGGTTCTTTATGTATCAAAAAACAGTTTTGTAGGCGGAAAGTCACAAACAGTTGAAATTCTCCAAATGTATTTTGACTCATAAAATCCACTATTCCCACTGTTTTCATTTAAATTCAGTGACAGCCCTGGCCGGGTGGCTCTGCTGTTCGTATACCAGAAGGCTGCAGGTTCAATCCCCCGGCAAGGCGCATATGGGAGGCAACTGACAGATGTCTCTTTCTCGCATCAATGTCTGTCTGTCTGCCTGTCTCCACCCCTTCTCTCTCTCTAAAATCAATGAACATATCTTTGGGTGAGGATTAAACAAAAAAAATTTCAACGCTAGTTTGTTGTTTTAAAAAATAAAATGTCAAATCTTTGATTCTGTCTAAGATATCCAGGAACCAAAGTTACATGAATTCAACAAGAAAGCTGATTCCTCAGAACAAAATTCTAAGGCATATTTAATTGCTTTCCTTACTGAGGGAAATTTAAACATACAGTGTTGATGAAGGTAATCTACTGTACTTCTGTTTGGCATTTATATTTTTGCTTCCGCACTGAAAGTAGGAGTAGAAACCATACACTGTTCCCTTCCACTTCCCATTTCCAAATGACACCTGTCGCTGACCTTCACCTTCCCACACTCTGGTGCTTCAGTCAGCACCGTGACTACTCCCAGTGCACTTCCCCATCCAGAACTGCTGACTGTCTTAAATCGAATTGTTAAACATTTGAGCTAGAATTCTTTCCTGTGATACCATTTATTCATCTATAACGCAGTTCTTTTAAAACTAAAACCATAAGAAATTCTGCAATTAGAAAATAACCTCCAGTGATTTTTTAAAAGATTAATCTGATTAGTACTTAGTATGATAGGTATTTATCAGGTTGGCCAGAAATTTTTTGTTTGTTTTCCATACTATTGCTCTAGGAGTGCTTAGTTGTCCTTAACTTCATTTGAAACTATTTCGTTAAATCGTATTGTGACAGCTGTCATATCAGTGTGCATTTAAAATAAAAGTTATCAAAACTGGTGAATTTTTGTGCAGCCATTTTAATATTGAAGACGGAAGAAAATATACATTTTCAGCATATTATGCTTTATTATTTCAAGAAGGGTAAAAATGCAACTGAAATGCAAAAGATTTGTGCAGTGTATGGAGAAGGTGTTGTAACTGACAGAATGTGTCGAAAGGTTTGCAAAGTTTCTTGGTACTACTGACATAAAGAAACAAGTAATTCTTTGCTGTGGGGCTGTCTGATGCATTGGAAGATGTTCAGCAACACCCCTGGCCTCTACCCACTAGAAGCCAATATCTGGAGATAGCCGACATACTCAAAACATACAAATCAATAAAGGTATTGGTTAAAATGGAAAATGTGTCTTTTATTTTACAAAAAAAATTAAATGGACTTTTTGGCCAACCCAATATTAAGTATATAAGAATACATTGTAGCCTGGCTGATGTGGCTCAGTGGACTGAGCACCAGCCTGTGAACCAAAGGGTCACTGGTTCGATTCCCAATCAGGGCACATGCCTGCATTGTGGGCCAGGTCCCCAGTGGGGGGTGTGTGAGAGGCAACCACGCATTGATGTTTGTCTCCCTTTCTCCCTCCCCTCCCCTTTAAAGTAAATAAAATCTCAAGAAAAAAAAATACAGTTTAGAATTAACATAGACAGTACTATTTACAATTTTAAATTACAATACATTTCAAGTTAAATAGCATTATAAAATGATAAAATCACTTTGAGTATATTAATGAATACATAACTATAAGCAGAAAAACACATGTCTGAATGAACATTTAGTCATTTCTTTAAGCCCCAATTTATTTCAAAAAAAATTTGAAGCAGCTAAAGTAGTTTTCATGGGTTGTCCAACCTGCATGCAGCCTAAAACAAAATCATAAATTTACTTAAAACATCATGAGATTTTTTTTTGTTTGTTTTCATTAAGTGTGTGGCCCAAGACAACTCTTCTTCCAGTGTGGCCCAGAGACACCAAAAGGTTGGACACCTTTGACTATATATAGTCAATCTTCATACTTTATATTAAAAGAGATAAATAATATCCTCCCTTCAGTCAACATAAAAGAACTGGGCTTAATGTTTACTATTCAAAAGTGTATGTATTTCATGAGCAGGTAGCTAATTTGGAAAAATTCTATCACCGCGTTAAAGCACCTTCATAGAAAGAAAGCGGCTGTATGACCTCACTTACATGTGGAAGGTGGAGAAATCAAACACACAGAAGCAGAGAGTTAGCAGTGGTGGGGAGACAGGGGAAATGGGAAGGTCAGAGAAGGGGGGCAGGTGAACGGCACAATGCTGCAATTCTGTAGGACAATTAAGTTTAGAGATCTAATGTACAGCATGATGACTACAGTTAGTGATACTGTGCTGTTCACTGGGAATCTGCTGAGGAGACGGCGTGTTCATTAGCTTGACTGATGTAAAGATTTCACTACACACGTGTATCAAAACATCACACCGTACACCTTAAATATATACAATTTTTATAAAAAAATACTATATTACATGCAAAAAAAATTAGGAAATACAGTTTTTCAGGCCAGAAATCTCTTTGCCGGTAGCTGACACAGGTGCATTTACATTAGCAGAACTGATCAGCTGCACAGTTATCAGCGAATTTACAGGCAGAAACAAAACCAAAGCGAGACTGTAGTCACGCTTTACCAGAGTACTCACAGCGCCTCCTTGGGGCTGGAAGACTGACTTGCAAAAAAGGGTTTCTCTTATCTCCCAACTTTCTGAGGGTGCAAATACTTACAAAATGATGTGTCTACTGAAGACAGAGTTTAAATTAAAGGAAAGGAAAAAAAGGAAAGGCTTCTATCGGTTCCTTACCTCTTATTTAAAATAGGTTAAAAAAAGAATTTATCAAATAAGAGATTTTTAAATTAGCATTTAAATACAATTTCACTGCATGTTAAATCTAAGAAGTTCAGACTGAGACAACTCAATTTTACCTTGAATTCAATGCTATCATCACTTTAAATTTTAGTTATTATTTACCTCATATTCTTTGTGGAGTAACTCAAGTCTAGTTTTCCGAAGGTGCTTCCGTATTGTATGGCTTAGCATAGGTTCACTTTCACTTGTCCCTCCTACATGGGGGAAAAAAAATCTAACTTTTCATTCTAATTTGGGCAGAATGAAAATGGACCTTTTTCTTGCTGTTTTATACAGTTTCCCAGCTTAATTTCTACTTATATACACACTTAGGGCTGCCATCCAAGCCTTTTCTCTACCTCAATGCTGAGAAAGGACAAATATCAAACAATACCACAAGTACTACCTTCAAATAAAACATCATGCTGAGTTTACTTACCTAGGTATCCTATTATAGTAAACTTGTTAAAGGTAAATGCTGTATTTTATTAATTATCACAACTGGACTACTGTAAATTTTGAATACCAGACAATTCTTAAATAATCATAAAACCATGATTATATTTATATTTAACCAATATATTATATAAATAATGCATCTATATTTCCATACATAATTATCAAATACATATTATCTGTATACCATAACATATAATATATACATTATGATAAGCTTTATTACAATCAATTTATTCAATCAAACACACCTAATTACTGGTAACACACTGAAAAGATTCAGGTGGCCCATCACCGAGTCTAACAACCGAGCCACCATGGACTATGAACCACAGCATCACTGTGTGCCAATCACGGATTCTTCCTGAGAGCTCTGCTCCTACACTCTGGCGACCTTCTTAGCACCGTGGGAGCACAGGCACTTTACAGACGCTCTGTTTTAGGATGTTCTATCCAAGTGCAAGGATAGATGAACGATTTTATACTTGAAAGAATTTATGACGCATCACTTAGATATGAATGAATGAGTGCATGAATGAAGGCAAAAGAAGGGATGTGAAAAGAAGCTGCCAGAAAAAAACATTCAAATTCTTTCAGTATTCTAACCCAGCCATTTTCAACCTTTTTCATCTCATGGCACACATAAACTAATTACTAAAATTCTGCAGTACACCAAAAACTGTATTTTTTGCTGATCTGACAAAAGAAAAAATAGGTATAATTTTGATCCACTCACACTGGACAGCTATTGTGTTGGCTGTTGTCATTTTTTCAATTGGGCGATCTAAGGGAAAAGAGGTCAGTGCCCCTGACTCTTTTCACATATTTTAGGTATCACATATTTTAAAAATTCTTGTGGCACACCAGTTAGAAATTGCTGATCTAATCTTATAGTTTGCAAGAGCAGACATCCGGTCCAGGGACCAAACTAAAGGCAGAGTGGCTAGCATCACAGTAAGCAGCACAGCAGAGAAATATCCCTCTACAAGGCACCCAAGGAAGAACACGGAGCCATCTCTGACTCTTCCTTCAGGTCTCTTATTTCCCAAGTCCCACCAGTTCTTTCATTCTAGCATGTAGCTTCCCTTCCATTTCCATTGCTAAAATCTTATTTAAATCCATTTGCACTCATTTGGGACTAACACAGTAACTTCTTAAGTTTTCTAAAAAGTGATTCCTATATACAGCTATTGACAGATTCATTTTCAATTGTTCCCAAAGCAAAAACAAATAAAGATCATTTTAATTTTTGTAATCTAAGAGAAATGTCTTGTATTTGCAGAATAAAAACCCAACATGAAAAAAACTCTCTAAATATTTTATTTTTCTAGTTTCAGTTCCGCCCCCCTTACCCACATTATTACGGTGTAGTTCAGGTAAATGAATGTATACAGGTAAATGTTCCCTTTTCACCCTTAATCCACTCTCATATTCTCCCTCACCTGGGCAAGAACCTCCCTGTCACGTGCTATCTCCCCGCCGCAGCCCAACCCCTACACAGCATCACCAAGCAATGTTCCTCACGTGCGTTTTGGATCATGCAACTTCCTTGCTCAAGACCATCATGCCCATCTCATCCTTCCCATCAAAGGGCAAGTCCCAGACTTAATTTGTCACTCAAGATTCTCTGCACTGAAAGATCAATTTACCTGTTCAGTCTTATTTTAGTAGTCATACCCAAACTAGACTAGTGACGATTTCCAAGAACATGCCTTTTGTGTTCCTACCTCTAAACATTAGTTTATGCTACCTCTACTCCCTCTGCCTAAAATGCCCTCCCTGCTCTTTACCAGTTGAAATTTTATCCATCCTTAAACCTCCAACTTAAAGTCCACGTGCTTGATGAGACCTTTCTCAATGTTGCTACGTGAACTTTCTTGCCTGAACACTCTGGGCCTTTTCTTCGCCTTTAGCATCTGCTGCTTTAAACCAGTAATATTTTGGTGCACATGCACAAGCCCTACCAGAATGTAAGTTCCAGGAAGCGCTAAGATTTCTCATAAGGCCTTGAGTTCCTCAAATGCTTCATTGATAGATGATACAAACAGCCAATCCATCCAGTATGATGCTGGTAAAAATAACATCACTGAACACTGTCTATTTCAGTCTTCCTCCAAACATGCACTCCTTACAGATTGTTTCAGATCTATTTCTTTGTGTTTATAAAATAGGCCCTTACCAATAATCTCTTTGCAAGGATTTTCAGGCGTGATGGGGACTCTGCAAGCTGGACACTGGCTATTATTCTTCAACCACAAATCGATACAGACTGAACAAAATACATGGTTGTTGATGCATATGACAGGCTGGCGGACCTTTAAAAAAAAAACAATACCTTTAGTACAGGGCAACGGTCACAGTCAGAATCCCAACAGGTTCCCACAGAGACTGAAAGTGTGGACAGGAGGGGTGGGGCACAGACAGGTTTACAGTCATTCATACGGAAAATATAATAATATATAACAACACAAGAATAAACTACGTTTCATGTACTCAGAACTGTAAACCTACTTTTGCCCCACCCTGCATTATAAAATGGTTTTATTTTATTCCCAACCACTCTCATGTTCAAAAAGAAAAGACATGTTGTTCCACTAAAGCTGGGACATATTCAACTCTTCTATTTTAGAATTATGAAAAGAGAAACAGAATGTTCTTTAAAGATCATTTAATCCAAGCACCCATCCAATATTTGGATCCCTCCCTCCACTGATTCCACCATGTTACAGAGCAGCAGCAACCGACAATTGAGCACTGACATCTTACTAGAAAGTCTCCCAGACCAAACAGGCAGGAAACGACCCTCAAAGCCACGAGTGGCGCATAATCTAAACAGCACACAATGCTGAACGTATTTCATACACAAACCTCTGACTCCAAATAGCAGCAATAATGAACATTTATATAGTCATAGATTTTACAAAGGGCTTTCACATGCTTTTTCTGTTTTGTTTTGGTTTGTTTTTAAATAACCCTGTGAAGTAAACAGAGCAAATATACTTTACGAACAAGAAAACCCAGGTGTGAGAAACGTAGGCGGCTTGCTCAGGGTTGACTGGGTGTTCTGACTGTGTTTAGCTGTTTTATCAGAGGGGAACTGAGAGAGAAGGTGCTTTAGTTTTTACCTGACATTATACTTTGGTTGTTCACATATTCACTTTCTCTCTCTCTAGGGGGGGAAAGAAGAGAACTGCTTTGGTTTTCTACCCGATACTACATATTTGTGTACATGTATGTTGTCTGTCTCCTCTATTAGGATGGAGGCTCCATGGACACAAGAGCTTCCCTAGTTTCATTCATTCCTAAATCCCTGGTGCCCAGAAGACAGCTTAGGACACAGCAGGCACTCAGGGAAAGTTTGGTGAATGAAGTAATTCCTACTAAGACAATATTTAACATTCAATTCAAGTTGGGGAACTTGACAGAGGGAATAATGACTTAATGTTCTTCAAACAGTACAACTTTAACAAGAAAAACAAAAAAGAAATGCTTAGGCCTTCATTTGATTTACATGGTACTTTTACTGTGGGACTCAAAACACTTCGTAGCCATTTTCGGTACCTTTCTGTTGTACTAGCACCAGTACTACTGCAGAGCCCTTCCGCATCAGGGCCTGGAGGATCGAGGGGAAGCAGAGGAAGAAGAAGAGACGGAACCACCACAAACCGCTTTCCGCAGAGAAAAGGCTTGTCCACCTCAGTATGTAAGGACTCAGAAGACAAGTGTTCGTTTCAGAGGGGTCCCTACCCTCAAAGAAATCACTGATGTGTGTATGGTGGTCCACGCCAGGCAGGTATGAGTTGAAGTCTCACTACCAAGTGCTCACTCGTCTTAGTTTGCCTTCCAAAATGTAGATGCTCCCTTGATCATGAACACTAGCCTAAGAAATCTAAACAGAGAAGGTAATTCAGCATGGATTTAAGTTTCTTCTCGGAGAAACCAATTCTACTTCAGTCAGCTCAACTGACTGATCAGACTAATTAGAATAAATGACCATGAGGCACTCAAACTCTTCTTCCAAAGTCCCCGCCCAGCAGCAACGAGGACTCAGGCTTACCTGGAAGCATGGTGTTGTGGTTTATTAGCTGTATATTTGCTCATTTGGATAATCTAAATACAGTTCTCGGGCATTTGGTCTTCATCCCTAGTTCCTGGCTCACAGCTCCCAAACCTCAAAGAATTTTCTAAGTGATGAGAGCAATAATGGTGTCTCTTACTATGTTAATGAAGTGACTTTTTTAAAATAGAGAGGTGCAGAAGAGAGACAGAGAGAGAGAAACATCGATTTGCTGTTCCACTTACTTATGCATTCACTGGTTGATTCCTATGTATGCCGTGACTGGGGATCAAACCTGCAGCCTTGGTGTAGGGATACCACTGTAACCAACTGAGTAGCCATGGCAATGAGGTGACGTTCTTTTTAACATTATTTTGATTGCTGACACCATTACACCTGTCCCCATTTTCCCCCTTTGCCCACCTCTACCCAGCCCTCCCCTGCCCCGCTTCCCCCTGGCCGTCAGCACACTGTTGCCTGTGTCTATGGGTTATGCATTTATGTTCTCATGCTAATTAATCCCTTCACCCTCTTTCATCCAGTTTCCCCCTTTCCCGACGGGTGTCAGTCTGTTCCATGTTTCAAGTTGGGGCTGGCTGCCAGTAGAAGCCAACTTTGAGGTCAGAGATTGGAACTTTCAGTTTTATCTCCGGATTTCCAAAGAGGGGAGAGGGGCTTGAGATCGATCAGTCAATGGTCAATAACTCGGTTAATCGTAACTAGTAAAGAAACCTCCATAAAAACTCAAAAGGACAGACGGTAGGAGACTTGACTCGGGGTGGTAAACACACAGTATGATACACAGATGATGTATAGAACTGTGCACCTGCAATCTATATAACTTTATAATTTTATTAACCAATATCACCCCAATAAATTAAAATTAAAAGCAAAACAGAGGGCAGCTTGGCAGCCCTTTTTCAGAGCACCAGAGTGCTTCCACATGGCACGATAGGCCCCAAGCTCCAACAGGACAGAAATTCCTTTCAGGCTTCGCCCTATTTATCTCTTCATCTGGCAACTGACTCATATCCCTTAATATCCCTCGAAATAAATAGATAATCCGCTGGGTAAATGGGTTTTCTTGAGTGTTATGAGCTGTTCTAACAAATTAATCAAACCCACGGAGGAGGTTGTTGGAATCTCTGACTTAGAGTCAGCCAGCCGGAAGTACCTGCACTTGAGACTGGCTTCTGAAGTAAAGGGCCGCCTTCGTGGGGCTGAGCCCCTTCTTCACCTGTGGGGAGGGACTGGAGCACAGACAGGCAAATTCCTAAGAGGTAAAGAGAATGAGATCTAAAGCACAAGGGGGGGATTTTGGTTCACCCAGGAGCTAGACTCTGTCTTCCACTGTAACACAAAGGAAGACTGAGGGTATGAGGACACAAAGGCGGTGGGAGATCTGTTGACAGAAAGATTAGAGACTCGTGTTGCAACTGTTCTAATTGCTTACATTTCATCATGAAGTATGAGGTGAGGTTACTGGCCGAAAGTGAGAAGCGGAGAAAGACATCGACTTGAGAAAATGGGAGAAGCCAGCAGCTGCCTTAAACAGTGAGAAAGTACACGTACAAGGGACATGCAGCAGGACTGCCGAGCACTGCTGGGTGGCAATTTGAGGTCTGAGATTTTGACTGTAAAGACCCATTAACGTTAGGTGTGTATTTTTCTTACCAACTTTTAGCCACTCAGGTTCAGGCAGAAAGTAAAAGAGTCCCAGTTTTGCCAAGGAGGAAGAGAGAGACAAGAGACTGATGATAATAAATGACCACGGCTAATGAGGGAAATGAGTACTTGAATAGTAATGCCAGTGAAAGCGTGAGAGAGTCATTGAGTCCGCGGGTAAAGCCTGGGTAAAGCTGGCGTATTGCTAGAGAGGAGGTATGATGGGAAGAGGATCACGGACTGAAATGCTTGTAGTCAAAACCCTGAAGGTGGTGCAGCTGCCTTCTCTAATGTGCTGTCTTGAGCCATCTTATCTGACATGGTCCTATTTCTCTCTTAATCTCATGCATCATGTGGTGTCAACATATCTTCTATGGCGACAACTTCCGAGAATCCTTTGTAAGTGGACCTCACAAAGTGTCAGAGCGTAGGCATGGAGAAATAAACCTGGGGCCAACTCCAGTCTGCCGCTTACTGAGCTGCTGGACCTCAGTTAAGGGCTTTAGTTACAAGGGCCATCAGTTTCTGCCTCTGAAAACTATAGTTTAAGCCAGTACATGTTCCATTCAGGTGTTGCTTAAGAGTTAATAGTGTAAGGACATTCATACAAAGACTCCACATAGCAGTATCTCAAACAAACAAATGAAGAAGGAACAGCCCCGGCCAGGTGGCTCAGCTAGTTGCAGCATCCTACCATACAGCAAAGAGTTGAGTTTGATGCCCAGTCAGGGCACATACCTAGGATGTGGGTCCAACCCCCAATCAGGGCACATGACAGGCAAGTGATCAATGCTTCTCTCTCATACAGATCTCTCTCTCTCTCAAATCAATGGACATATTCTTGGGTAAGGATTTTTTTTTAAAGGAGGAACACAAAGTCACAATACTGTTATATCCACTTGCCAAGGGGCTAATCCAAATAAGGCTCTTGTAGCTGCCTCAACCATAATGTCAAACCCTGCCTCCTTCACATATTTGCTCCTCTCACACTCCCTCTTGTCTAAGTTTACAGAGCCACTCTCCTCCCACCCCACCCACCACCACCTGGGGGCTAGAATCCTCAGAGCTGTGTCTGACTCATCTTTTTTCACTTCTTGACACCTAGTCAGTCACCAAATCCTGCTATCATTAGTCAAGTCTAAGAAGCCAGAGATTTTAAGATGCACCAATAAGTATACTGAATGAAAATGCTGCCATTTACACCTCTAAGATGCCATTCCTTGTAAGCTACCTCCAAGTTTCAGAGGCAGCATAATGTGGATACACCAGAATAGCTAAAATACGGTTTATTTGCCTCTAAATGTTCTTTCACCTACCACAACGACCCCCTCCCAAGCGTCCTTTCTCCCTTTCTGGCCGTCCTTCATTCACACTGATGCCAGAGCTGCCTTCCTAGAATGTGAATAAGCAGCCTTCACTCTTCCTCTTCTGCAAAACAGCAGTTCTGCTTTGTGTGGAGTTCTGAAACTGAAAAAGCCAGAGTTCATGCTGCCTGTCACTACCAGAACCAATAAGCAGAGACAAGGGTTGAATCTTTGTGGGCACTTTATTCAGATGCCAGCCGTCTAAGACGTGGGTTAGGTACCCTCAAAA